AATTAGGCGGAATATTTATGCAGATTGCGGCAGGGCTCAGCCATTGTTGCACACGCCGGGGCCGGGGAGTGTTAGACAAAAAGGACGTCTCTGAACCCCCAACCCCCCCCCCCCCCCCCCCCCATTTGGCGGGGACGAGGCGGGCCATGCCTCACGCGCCTGTAAAAGGTCTTCATTTGTTTGTTGTTAAAGATCTAATTAGGAGGATGAGGGGAAACAGGACGGAATGGCAGCTTGTCTAATTAAGAGGCACGTCCAGGGTTCCCTTTGAACCTCAAGGACGCCCATCTATTAGAGAGGCCCATCAAAAATGGATTCAGCCTAAGTGCATTTTTGGTTGCTTTCCTTAAATGATTAAAGATGTGCGCGCTGGAGTGGGCTTTCCCCTCCTCTCCGAGAAGCCGAAACACTTGAAGATTCTGAGCATACCTCAGGCATTTCCTTCGTTTGTGCGCAGTTAGCGGGAGAGAGCTTGAACGTCTGGATGCATATGTGATTTATTCGCGTTTGGGAGTGTAGGTACTGGCAGGATGGGGATTTTCATGCTCGTTTCTGTTTACTGATCGTAAGCATTTTTTCAGTAGTTGTGCCTGTGAATTTCACTGTTCTCTTTTGGCAGTCCCTGAAACAGAATAGAAAAACAGGATTTTTTAACACTATTTAATTTAGCCTTTTCTTCGAAAGACGCCTGAGAAAGGTACATTACATATCCAAAAATGTGTGGACAGCAAACTCCACACCTGCATGTGCTTGTTGAAAATTTAATTTCAAAACCATTGGCGTTAATGGGGAGTTAATCCTTCCTGACAGCTTTCCGCTCCTCGGGTTGCAGGGATTTGATTCCTCTCAAATGTCTTCAAGAGGGGTTCATGTTTGGGGTTTTTGCAAGCCAGTCAAGTTTTTCCACACCAGAGTCCTTAAAACCATATCTTTAGGGACTTTGCTTTGGTGCACCTCATTCTACTTAATATGTTTATGGAATGAGATTGCATGACTATATTTGTCTTTATGCATCTGTTAGTAATATGAGTTTATGGAATAACCAAACTTGCGAATTAGCTGTAGTTCTACACCAGTATGAATTTGAAATTGTTTTAGTCATAGTTTTTTTATTTTATTATTAAATACTAAAAAAAAGTATTTGATGAATGCATAAACCAAATATTGAAATTGTATGTATAAATGTAACTCTTTCCCTGCTATTGACTGAATTTTACGTCTTTTATGAGACAACACTTCCCTGCCACTGACAGAATTTTCCAGCTCTTTGTGTTTTCATTGTTATACGGTAGAGGGTGCTACGCATCTTCTGAAAGAGTACGTAATAGATCAAACACAGGTGAAGAAGAAGCAGAAACAAGCGATAGAAGCATTGCTTATCCACGTTGTAGTCTTTGACAATACAATTTTCTCAGCTTTTTGTTCAAAATGTTGCTTTTTTAATAAACTTAATGGTTAAAATGGTTAAAAATGTATCAACATTTAACAAAATTAACTTTTGAAAACAGCCCTGGTTGTGAAGACCAAAAATTACATTATAATAAGTGGTTTAGTGAGTTGTTACAAAAAAAAAAGCGTATTCACAGTGTGACAAACATTCTTTGTTAATGTTGATGAAATTTAAAAACCCTTTGTTTGAGATTAACACTGGTGTTCACATTCAGTATAGGCCATGTAGTATAAGCAATACTAACGAATCTCTGGGTCTTTAAAGGTGCCCTATGTAAAAATTGAGGTAAAATTATCCAAAAAATAAGCTACACGCATCAAAAGAATGAGAAGAAATAAGTGCAATGATGTCATTAAAAAATTGACAAGTTATAGTGCTGCCGAGATATAAACCTAAAATAATTAGCATGCTAAATTACTAGCGCCGGCCCGACTGGTGTCGTAATACCAGTTTCGGCCATGGGAGGCGGTATGCGGGCAACATACATAACCACCAGCCAAACTGCAGTACACGAATAACTCGCACGGCTTGTGGGCGTACTTAAACCTGATGTCAATCGCGTCTATATGAGACCGGCCTTTATAATTTAGTGTTGAGATGTTGTTCATTGAGTCTCTAATCTCTAAAAATCTCCAAATGAACTGCGGTCTTACTATCGTGTCAATTGATTTGATTAGTATGCGCGAGAGAGAGCAGGAGGACTGCGCTCGTGTTGTTTGAAGACGTGAGAGTGCGCGCGCGCGGCCGGGGCGCTCTCTCTCTCTGCTCGTTATAAGCCCTGTCAAGCGCAGCAGTCATTATATTCTACATCACTCACCGATCAAAATAGGCTTTGGCGGGACAAAGCGGACGATTTGACGGTTTTAGAAGATTAACAACCCGAAACTAAAAAAACAGACTAGAGTAGGCCAACTTTCTGGAGGTATACTGCCCCCATTTGGTATGGAATATGTGGAGTATGAATTTATTTTTTGGCAGACATTCCACATGGCACCTTTAATAACTGTGTTTGGCGACCGAAAACACAGGCATTAGAGCAGACTCAAGGTTTGGGCTGATGTGAGCAGTCAGCAGACTAGATGTGGATAATTAATGAGTGATTGGAGAAGGTCAGAGCAACACAGCTACAGCCCTGTCAGAGAATCAACGTTCCTTTTGTTTTCTCATTTCTTTTATTTATATTTCTTTATCACTCCCTATACTCTTCTTAAATGTAGGCTGGCATAGACCTCATTTGTTCTGCTGGGTATATCTGGGATCCTCTGAAACTAATTAAGGCAGAGGAAAAGGAAGAAGAATCGAATATAGTGCCTCACCAAGGCTGATCTAATGAGGCGTTCTCTGGGCTGATAAGTTGTCTGATATAAAACCCTAGCAGAGGAGCTATATTGACTATTTGTAAACCGTTAGCACAGGTACACTGAAGTTTTGTGAGTTCCCTCTCTTTAACACCTTCCCTCAAGTCCACAGCTCCACGTCTGTAACAACAGCAGGCAGTGCAGGATGGGGTCAGCTTAATTACACACCATCCGCTATGGACAATTTTCAGATGGTCTACTCAGCTTTTCTGCTTTTCACACAGAGATTGTGACAGACTTGAGCTTGATTATGTAATAGTTGTTTGTTTTTTATCATATCGTGATAAAACAAGAAACATTTGTGTGTGTGCGCGTGCGTGCGTGTGTGTGTAAAATTTGGAAACGTTACTTTTTTATGTTTTTGAAAGAAATCTCTTATGCTCATCAAGCCTTTGTTTATTTGATAAACTACAGAAAAAAACAGTAATATTGTGAAATATTATTACAATTTAAAATAATGGTTTTCTATTTTAATATACTTTAAAATATCTGTGATGCAAAGCTGAATTTTTAACCATCATTACTCCAGTCTTCAGTGACACATGATCCTTCAGAAATCATTCTAAAATGCAGATTTAATGCTCCGTTATTATCAATGTTGGAAACAGTTGTGCTGCTTAAAATTTTTTTGGAACCTGGGATACTTTTTTTCAGGATTCGTTGATGAAAAAGAACTGCATTTATTCAAAACAGAAATCTTTCTAGCAACATAAATCTTTACTATCACTTTTTATCGATTTAACACATCCTTGCTGAGTAAGAGTATTCATTTCTTTCAGGAAAGAAAGAAAACAATTACTGACCCCAAACTTTTTAATGGTAGTGTATATTGTTACAAAAGATTTTTATTTTAAATAAATGCTATTCTTTAAAAAAAAAAAAAAAAAAAAAAAATCATCAGAGAATCCTGAAAAAAGTATCACATGTTAAAAAAAAATATTAAGCAGCAAACTGTTTCCAACTCCGATAATAAATCAGCATATTAGAATGATTTCTGAAGGATCATGTGACACTGAAGACTGAAATAATGATGCTGAAAATTCAGCTTTGCATCACATAAATTAATTATATTTTAAAGTGTAATAATATTTCACAATATTACTGTTTTTTTTCTGTATTTTTGATCAAATAAATGCGGGCTTGGTGAGCATAAAAGGCTTCTTTCGAAAACATTAAAAAAGAGTAATGTTTCCAAACTTTTGACAGGTACTGTATACACACACACATACACACAAAGTATTTTGACACTGAAGTCACACTTTTAAATGTCTGAATCTCATTGCATCATTAGATACAAAATTTCAAACAAAGTGGCATGATATGGACACAAAAATCTAGTGAATTTTGTTTTATTCACTAGAATGTTTCCAAATATTTCTTTATATTAAACGTTATAATTAAAACCTCACAGATATCTTTTGGGAAACATTTGAGTTGTTTTTAGGTTCAAATAAATGCAGTTTGATTTGATATTGTGATACCTAATGCAATGACATTCATACATTTTTATGTGACTGTCCAAAAACTTTCCAATGCCAATGTAATATGGAAAAGCGTCTTTGCATAATAAATTGACACACACATGCACTTCGAGCACAATAAAATTAAACAAATAACACACCCTTAGATTTTAACAATGATTTGCAAACACTTTCACGTATTAAAGAAAAGTTATTCACATTTATAAATCTGATGTTTTTAAAGAGGGTGACATGATTTGTGGTTTAGTTACGACGAGTGTGTTGACAGTGGTATTCTAGTTATTTTCCTGCTTGTTATTTGTGGATGCTGAAATGCAAATTAGCATTTCAATTAAAGAGCGTTCCTTTCTCAGAAGAACTATTAAGGTCAGTCAGTTTTTATGTAATCACCAATCAAAAGTTTTTAAAACCATGACTTCCGTATACTTATGTGATGTGTAGTGTGTAGTGTTTATAGTAGTGCACTGTACAGTGGCGGCCAGTAAGTCTTCACACATTCACACACACAGGGGAAACAGCGAGATGTGGCTTTACAAACTCACCTATCTATCAATCTTTCTTCCCAGTGCACGCTGCATTGTACAACCATGCAAGTCAGATAGTAAACATTGCTTCATAACATTACTATGCAAAGTCCTATTTCCCCCAATGATGGAGTCCCACCCCTCATCCTCCTCCCTTCCTCCTCCTCCCCTGTACTGTATCTCCCAGGCTTCCCCGATTACGGTTTCTATTCCTCGCCAAGCGACCAACGGGGGCCCCCCTTCTCCTTTGCGGACTATGGCTCCCTGGGCCCCCAGGCGGCTCAGCTGCTGCAAAGCGAGCATGCCACATCAGCCTGCAACTCCCCTCTCCAGCACCTGGCCAGCCCGGATCAATATAAGAGCCCAGGTGTGTACCCGCCTCTCCTTCATTCAATGATTGATTTGATTCATGCCGTTTATTCATCACCCTGCCATTCATTAAAACGAGAGAGGGGTGGACAGATGAGAAGGGAAAGCGAGGGTTTTGTGCATCCTTGCAGTTTGCTTGAAGTGTTGTAGCATTGTCATTTTGCCTGTGGATTTGAGGTAGTGTATATACATGAGCACGTATGCATGCGTATGTACTGTGGAGAATGATATATCCGGGAAAGCGGGATTTGGCTGCGGTCACAGTCCCTGTGCGATTAATGCGTTCATATCTTGTGCAGTACATACTCAGGCACGTATATATGTATTACACACCCATTGGCTCCATACTGCTCAACTGTCAGCCCGCTGGCATGTGATAAATGATATCTAAACATCCGACTTCATGTACTTGAGAATAAAATGACAAGCCGTTTGTTGGAAGTTGATTTTATCGCTTAGTTGCCGCACTTGGACACAGTATCACATATGGAGATAAATTGTTAATGCATCTCTTTATTTGCATACGTTTTTATTCTGTATTCATTGTGTTTGTTCACATATACAGTACAGTGGCTCCGAAATGTATTTAGACACTTGAAAAGAGAGTTCATTCTGTCATCATTTATTCACCATCATGTCGTTTCAAACCAGTGTGACTTTCTTTCTTCTGTAGAACACAAAAGATGATGTATTGAAAAATCTGTGTTTTGTTTTTTTGGTGTCATTTTCGATCCTTTTTTATTGTATGCATCTTCTTTTTGTGTTCTGCCAAAGATGTCATGCAGGTTTGGAGCTGCGCGAGGATGAGTAAATGATGACAGATGTGTATTTATGTGTAAACTATCCCTTTAAGTCACACTTTAAAATGAACGAATGTCATTGCAATGCATACAAAATACCAAACCAAGTGTTATTTACTGTAAAGGATAACACAGGCACACTTTCTAAGCAAAATATTGCTAAAAAATAAGTTTGTGAGGTTTTAATGTCCCATTCTACTTGTCAAATGTTAGTGGAATATATCCATAGAAATTTCCGATATAGCAAGAAAAAATAATAGGATAATTTGATTGTAGAGGACACTTGGTTTGCTGTTTTTTCTCATGTAAATAAGTTTTGACATTTTAAATGTGGCTTAAGTGTTCAAATACTTTTTTGGCCACTGTATGTAGAATTACATCAACTAATGAGTGAAAATGAGAAGTGTGTGTTGCATGGTAGCAAAAAAACCCGTCTTGTTTTGACAGCATATTTAAAGGGAAGAGTTTTGCTATTTCCAAACTCTTGGCATATTTTGTAATCCTTTATGGTAGTGCACCACTGAACTGACGTTCGGTCCTCTTTAAAACAGTAGTGCTCCACTTTATATTCAGTAGCCTGTAGTTCAAAGGAAGGCGGTCTTGAGCTCTTGGCAGTAAACAAGACACGTCTTAAGCAAAAAAAAAGAAAAATAAGTGCTGTCAAGAGTCATGGTAATGACTAGTAAACTGTCTTGCAGACATTGAGGCATGTGTGGATTAGACATCCACGCCAGCAACCAGACTGTTTATGGTTCAGATCCCAGTTATGGAATGCCAAGGAATGGTATCAGGCGGTTGCTGATTTTAATGTTCTGCATTTCTTTCAACCTTGTGAGGAATACACTTAACTTCCAAGATGTCTTATGACCTATAACAACGCTTTCCCTTTCTTTAAATGAAAGTTGGTCTTTAAATGATCGCATGCATTTAGATAGACACATTGCACATAATGGGGGGTTTTGAAATAAATCCATAATAGTTGCTAATGTGTATGAATTAGTTTCACAGTATTGAGCTACAAAAACAATTTCTTGTTCTGTTAATGAGCACATCCCCATTGATGGCTATAAAAGACAGCGAATCACTGTGTCTTATTAGCGGAGGCCTATTGGGAATACAGAAGCCAGTCATAGCCCAGGACGTGATGCTAACCAGGGTTGTCACTTACAGTGTGCTGGTTTCACCCCTCTTATATTAGAAGGGTTTATTTGTGATTTGGTGATCTGGATTCGTGATCCAGATCTTTCCGGGAACATTAAGGAGAACCTGTGATCTATATAGTTTTTCTGACTCCTTGCTGTTTTAAGAAGCTTTGATACTTTGCTGAATTCCTGACATATTGATCACCTAAATCACCTTTATCAGTGTTTTTCTTTTCTTTTCCAATAATAATAATAATTTTAAAAAAAGGATTTGTGGCCAATTGTTTATTAGTGTTATTATTATCTTACTTGAAATGGTTTATGCTTAAAATATTAGTAATAATAAATAAATTCAGGATATACTCTCTGAAAATAATCTTATATTTAATCTAATTTATTATTATTAAAATCCTATTCTGAAGTAAATATATTTTCTTTTAAAGATTATTTTATTAAGACAAAAATGCTGATTTACTAAGATTATTTGTGCACTTTTTACCCATTTCTTTTCCGAAGCTGGTGTAGTTATTTGGTCACTTTGTTCTCCCTTGCTTAATTGTGCCTCATATTTTACAATTACAGTGGTCTAGTTGCAGACAGGTGGTACACTAGTGACAGCCATCTTCCCTTCCACTCAAATCTAGTAGCGGATAATACACGCTATTTTGATACGCTGACATTTAGAAGTGAGAGCTCTGACTGTAGAGCCGCTCACCTCTCCTGTTGTCTGTGTCCTCATTTATGTGAAAAGCAGACAGATTGTGTGAGTCTGCTTCGTTCAGTTTACCCACGGCGGCATATTGCCCCCTATCTAACATATTTGCTCTCCTACCCGATCTCTCCGGGCTAATATTCCATTCATACAGATATATCTTTTACCCTCCTGAGTTTTTTGGAGGCTGCTGCAGTAATAGACTCCCTCTTCAATGGGCGCTGATCTGAAGGCCTCCGCCTGTGGAGGAACTTGATTTAATATTCGCTTATTAATGGAAGTGTCATAGAGGGCTGTGCGTAGGAGAAAAATGAGCGTGGCACAGCAAGGGGCCTCAAAGTTTCTGAGCGCCTTCATTTAATTTAATTCATGCATTTGTTTTTATTTTCCTTAATTCGCCTCTCAACAGCAATGAAATGGAGGGGTCATCTGCGAATGACAGCAGCCATGGCTCAAGTGGGCTGATATAATTATAGTCTAATTGTAAATCCCCCCCCAAAACCCCCTCCAGCCCCTCTTTGCTCCTTTCACACATTTGTCACTATTTCTGCTCCGTGAATTTGTGTTTAGAGGTTCTAACTTCGGCAAACAAACTTTGCTGCCATTCAGTGTTATTTCAGTATTATTCATACCGGTATTCTAATTATATATATATATATATATATATAAAATAAAAATATAATGATTCAAAATAATATATATATATATATATATATATATATATATATATTATTTTGAATCATTATATTTTTATTTTTTATAAGCAGTTTTAATTTTAGTTTGATTTTTTTAGAATTTTTATTTTTATTTACTATATAGCTTTTTAATTATATTTTAGCCTTAATTTGTTGAGGTTTAGTTTTGATTTATTTCCAGTTAGTAATTTTAGTGCTTCATCTTAAACTCCTTTCAGTTAGTTAAAGTTACCCAATATTTTATCTTTATTTTATTTCAATTAACACAAATATTTTCAGTTGTTTTAGTTAATGATAATAACTCTGCTGCCAGTTAAAGAATCTTACCCACCTTAAATATTTCTTACCGATCACGACACACTGTGTTGTTGATGTTTTTTATTAATCCTTTTGACAGTTGAATAAACAGCTGTTTGTTCTTTCATATTTGTTTGTTATTCTAAGTTTCTTGTTGAAACTGCATCTGACATAAAAAAATGACGACATAATTTCCTGTGGATTTGTCTTGTGTTGTTGAACCTTAGTTCTAGAGACAATGTAAGCATTGTTAAAGAACTTTAAGCACAGTTGATAAACTTCTGTTGTGAAAAGACACACAAATCACAGCATGTTTGATTTGAACCACCCATTCTTACAATTCAACTTAAACTGTTTTGTTGCATTTGCTAATAAAGTTACCCAGCAACATTTTATTTACTCACCAAAGCCAGAATTTTGCGCTTGGCGAGTGTTTAATTTCGGCTCCCAGGCATCATCTTCAACGGTTTCTGCTTTCAGACCCAAATGTAGTTTTAGCAAAAGTGGAGCTGCACTCGCAGTGGAGAGGAAACTCCATGATTCAGTCTTCAACCTTTTTACCCAAGACACCCTCAGCAATTTCCTGGTTTCCAGGCAGCTGCTAGGCCTGATAGCCCCCTGACGCTAACTGCCAGATAATCACTGCTGTATATATTTAAAAAAAAAAAGAGAGACCACTTTCTCAATGACAGGTGTTGATTAGATAGGGGGTGTTGTGGCAAAGTCCCCCATGCAATTTTCAGAAAGGGACTGGAGAACCGGCAGTCAAATTTGACGGAGAATGGGCGTAGAGCACTTGATATGAGATTGGGGGTAAGGGAGTGTATGAGAGGGGTGAGGTTATGATAATGAAAGGAACCTGCAAGGAAGCGACTCACACTTTTAAACATCACAGATGCCCCCAGAGGGGGAAAAAATCAGATAGATCTCCATCCCACAGCAGTCCAGCTCTCTACGCTTGCCTAAAACCTACTTGAGTAGCACGCATGCCATGTGAATGCGGGCGATATGCGTCCGGCACGCTCTTTCATCTGCATGAATGATGAGATATATTGCTGCAGCAGTCGCTAGCTTCAAGTAGAGCTGACTAGTTTGCTTTGTGCATGTCTATGTGCAGAGTTTTCTTTATTTTTCATTTTATACCTTTTGGATGAGAACACATTAGGCCGCTA